TTAAGTTTAATAATAAAAACAATTTATTTTTGGTTTAATATTATAAATTTTATAAAGATAATAATTAAGTATTCTGTTATAATTTAATGATTATACTAATTATATTTTAATTTTTTTATATTTAAAATGAGATATTTATCCTGTATTTGATTGTGTTTATCTGCAGTTAGTTACACGAATTCAGATATGGGATAAAATTGAATATGTATGAAATCGTTTAGGGATAAATGGGTTTAAGAGTTTTTAAGTTTTTTAGCCAAATGCTTTATAATATAGTATAGATATACGACAAATTAAAACAAATAAACTCACACACTCTCCTCACATTTGGTGAGGTTTGAACCCCTGACCTCCTAGGAGACTAAAGACTCACATACTGTTAGGCCAAGGGTCCTTTGGTTACACGTTAACAGTTCTTCTATGACCTGCTCTGATACCACAGAAATAGTTATCGAGTTTGATTCGAGCTTGAGTTCAAATTAGAACTACATAAATAGTTATCGAGTTCAAGTCGAGCTTTGACTTTAATTACTTGCGAGTTTTCGAGTCGAGTTCGAGCTTGGAAATTGAGTTTCGAGTTCGAGTCAGGTATTTGGGGGTGTTTGGGATTTGCTTATTTGAAACAACTTATATTTTTTCTATAAAAGTTCTTATCAACTTATTATAAGTTAGAATGGTCTTTCTTCTTCAAAAACTATTTATTACCGGTTTGGCACCGGTATAAATTGTTTATCCAAACACTTAAAAGTGCTTATTACCAGTGTCACACCAGAATAAGTCCATAATTATTTTTATAAGTAATTTCCAAACACCCCCTTAATAAAAAAAAAATCAATCAATCAATTTAAAAACACCAATTTAATTATCTAAACAAATAGTTTATTAATTTAAATAATTTTTTATATTAAAAAACAATTAAAATAAAATATTTAACGTAAATAATAATAATGATTTAACTCATGAAATCAATAAAAAAAACTCTTGACATAAAATATTATTCGATTTAACAAATTACACAATTTTTTAAATTTAAAAATAATAAAATATACCCAAAGAAGAGCTGGTTTTACAAAATTACCATTTTGCCCCAACACTCTAATATAGTCGGGGCTTTGTTCCCTTTTTATCCCCCTTTTTTTTCCCTCTAATCTTTAAACAAATAAACCATAAAAATGAACAAAAATTAAAAAACACGACGAAAAATGCAACCATAAATTTCGTTCAATTTGTCTATTTCTGTCCCGGTGTCGGTTTTTCGGTCTCCTCGGGAACGAACCGCGGCAACCTTAACATTGTGTTGACTCGAGACACGCCTTCGAGGGCAGACCAGTCAATTCCGGCTTCGGTTTTCATGGTTGCGGAGTCCACACCCTCGTTCCTGACCACCTCGTCGTCCACCAAATCCTCATCTGCACCAGTTCCAACTTTCTCGGCCAAATTGGTGGCGGTAGCCGTCGGGATATTGTCCACTTGCTGTGGGGTAAGAAAGAGGCAAATGACCGCACAATCGTCGACTTTAGAAGTCGGGTACCTGAACTTCCATGCACGGACCGCGGACTGGACTACGGACCGAGCCGCGCAAGATCGTGTTTCGGCAGATGCTACGATGTCCACGACTTCTTTGTTCGTGAGCACATCCCAAACCTGCAGTTTTAATACGAATAACGAGTAAGGGTTGGGTTGCCATAAACCCTTTTCGCACATTCTCATGATAACAAAAATTTCTCACATAATCGCGACTCTAACAAGTAAATAAATAAATGTAGGGAAGTTGACCAAACTTCACTTTTTAACCACTTTTTCAACTGAATTCCCATTTTAACCGAGTTTATGCAAATGTTACGAAAAAACGTTTGAAATGGTGAAAAGATTCGTACCCCATCTGTTGCCAAGACGATAAACTGGTCGTTTTCTGTTAAACGTCGATAAAAGATATCAGGGACGGAAATGAGACCGAAATCCTTGAGACAAAAATCCCCAAAAGCACGAGCCATGGCTAAGCCAGGGGAGTCGTTATTAGGTAGCCAAACTCTCGTGACTTCGGGTTCATCCTGAAGGGCGAAAACCCGTCCTTTGCATTTACGGATCCGCTCTGCTTCCGCTGAAAGAATTCAGAAAGAGAAACCATTAAGAAGCAAACTCTTTGTTTAAAACAACAATCACACCGTTCTTTTGGCACCGCATGGCTTTTGTCCCGATGATATCAACATCATCAACCGAAATGATTGACAGAGAATGATTACTATTCATTATGAATAATACATTAAATAGTTCTCATTTGAGTTGGGGGATTTTTTTCCCATTGAGCACTGAATGAGTTAAGTTGTTTTGTCGGTATAAATTTGAATGTCTAAGGGACACAGAGAGAGGGTTGAATTATTTCTGGTATTAATTTGTTTCAGGTGGCTCAGTGAGGACACGTGAGGGGTCCGGACTTATGCCATATAGCCATTATTGGCTTAATTTCATAACAATTAAGCCGTAAAGAAACGCGCCTGTATGGCTGAACGACTAAGCCACCTAGACCTAAACTTCATACAAGATATGAATTGTAATTTGTAAAGCATGAGTTACAAGTCCAACTAACTCAATTAAAATCTTCGTTTGAAATAAAATATTCCCTCGGGTATTGTCCCTTTTATAAACAAAAAGTCTGACTAACCCACAAGGTACCACATGTGAGGAGGTATTTCAGAGCTGATTCAGGGTTCAAGCCCGCCTCCTTCTGCAAGATTCGAACTTGATCTTGTTATGTATTTAAGAAAAGTCACTGCACTCCTTTGCCAACTAGGGCACACACCCAAGGGCATCAAAATCTAGGATTTTAGTTCATTATGTGTATAGAAATCTAGGATTGTGCTAGGATCCCTAAACCTCAAAGAGAGTAAGGGTTTGTTTGTTAGCAGCTTAATAGGACTCACAGCTTATTCAGTCAGCTATACATGACTGTCCGGTAGTGGCTTTATGTATAGAAAACGGCTTATTTAGTAAGCTTCTAGGGGGGAGCTTTATGCGGAAAGCCAAAAAAAAATCCAAACCTTCCCCTCCCAATTGAAAAGCATCCCCGTTTCGTCTATGGAAACCCCCCTCCTAAACATACAAACAGATTAATCCACACAATCTATACAGACAGATTAATCCACACAGACAACTTTATCCATAGAGAACTTAATGAAAAACCAACCAAACAGGTTGTTAGAAAGAATTGTGCTTGGATCCAACCTCGGAGAGAGTAGCAGCCTATTTGTTAGCAGCTTAATAGGACTCGAAGCTTATTCAGCCAGCATACATGACTCTTTGGTAGTGGCTTAATGATATAGAAAGTGGCTTATTCAGTAAGTTTCTGGGGGGGGAGCTTTATGCAGAAAGCCAAAATCTTTTTCGAACCTGCCCCTCCCAATTAAATAACACGCTCGTTTCGTCTATGGAAAAAACCTCCTCAACAAAAACCTTCTCAACCTATACAAATAGATTAATCCACACAAATAACTTTATCCATACATGGCTTTATCCTTAGCATTCATATATTATTAAAGCCACAATATCTCGTGTTTGCAAATAGAACGACCATTTGGCAAAAATCAAAGAGAAGGGGGAGAGTGGAACCTGGAATATTTGGTTTTAGATCCACAGTCAACTGAACCGCAACAAGAGAATCTTTTTTATCTCTCGTGCACAATATAGCTCGAGAATCCCCAACATTTCCGATTATAAGATCCTGACCCTACAAGAAAACAAGAAAGCCTTCATCATCAAATCAAACCCACTAAAATTGGGCCTACAAAATTCACAAATTTTCAATCAATTTCACCTGTTTAATCAAGGTTACTGCCGTTGTCCCACTACAAAAGCAGTCGACGTTAGCATGCATCCTTAGTTCCCTATCCATGACTTTAAACGCCTTCAAAAACAAGTCCTTGAGTGCCTGCAATTTCTCTGAGTTCTTATCAAGTTCAAGGTCTTGGGAGGTTCTGGAATCTTCATCTGGAGTTAAGGTGGTTTCTTCAGGACGCAAGCTAGTGGCGGAATTAAGGGTGACCTCCCGGAGGACATCGCTACTACCCTTTACATTAACGTCCCAGTGTGCACTTAGCTTCAAAGGGAGAGAGTCTCTCACTCGCTTAGCAACCATGTGACCATAGGGGCCATGACCATCAAACACGCCACAGAAGACGGTGTCTGTTCTTGAGGCAAAATTCTGAAAAGTTAAAAGTACCATGAAGTAAGAATATAACAATGCACATGTGAATATAACAAAGAAAAATGTGAATATGACAATGAATATGTGAATATACTAGGAAGTAGATTCAAAAACAGATTGTTTAAGAATATAACAATGCATATGTGAATATGAAGATGGGAATATAACAATAAACATGTGAATATAACAATGAATATGTGAATCCTAGGAAGCAGACTCAAAAAAACAGATTATATACGTTCCCTATCTATCTGGGCTTCGGTTATACCGTGCTTTGATCATGCAATTAAGAGATCTATAACGTGTATATATGCTACAAATCTGTATGAGGTGATATATATTCCTGCACTGATCTCAGTTTCAACTCAAGGGAGAATGATGAACATTTAAGGGGGACAAGGACAACTCCAAGTAATATCCAACGAATATGTGAATACAGAATTTTAAGATTCGGTAACGGATGTGGACATGTTTGTGGCTCAACCACATACCCACAAAGGCGAACCCTTTAACATCGGATATGTCATTTTCAACCATATGGCTGAGGAAAAGATCACATGGTCAAATATACCATGAGAAAAAGACGTAAGGTTATCTGTCAACTTCTACAATAGCAATACAACAACCATAAACTTCAAGAATTCTTTACGGAAATCACATCTCAACCGTTAAAAACCTAAAAGCCAACATCTTCAATTGATCAGAGTTCCATATACAGCATAACCTTTGAATATATATGCAAACTTTATGAATTAAGATGATGGCCTGCTTGTTAGCAGCTTAATGATCTTAGTAGGACTCACAGCTTCTTTGGTCAGCTATACATGATTGCTTGGTAGTGGCTTAATCATATAGAAAGTGGCTTATTCAGTAAGCTTCTAGAGGGAGCTTTATACAGAAAGCCAAGTTTTTTCAATACCTGCCCCTCCCAATTAGAAGACACACTCCCAATTAGAAGAGACACTCTTTCCATCTATGAAAAAACCACCCAAACAAAAAACCTTCCTCCAACCTATACAGACAGGTTAATCCATACTACAGGACTTAATGAAAAACCAACCAAACAGCCCCTAAATAATCTTTGAGCTACAATTTCAAAAGGGTGTACACTAATATCACAAGGCATATCATAAAAGTAAACGAAATGATAACACAAAAGACAATATGAAACGAAATGAAAAGAAAGGAAATCAAGAAACAAACCTCCCAAACAACCATGGCATCTTGATTGGTACCCTTTTTGCCTTGTTGGGTGAAAAGTGAAGCAAATTCACTAGAGCCATTCAAGAACATTCTCCCCGGAATCCGATGAAGCTGTTCTTCCCTCTGGAAACTAAAGGAAGAGCTCCGTGATGTCGATCTCTTCTTCGAGTTTTTCTTCTTTTTAACCCCAAGACTTGGTGTTGGGGAGCTTGGGTGAGGGCTCCTGCTTTCTCCAGATAAGCAGGACCCCATCCTTAGGGCCCTGATTATGCTCAATATGCACTCCAGAACAGCACCACAACCAAACCCCCTATTCTCGTTTGGAGGATCCGTCACTAATCTTTTCACAAACACGAAAGATTTCGTGTTTGTGTACCCAAAATCAACAAGTCGCCCTCAAAAAAACACACAAATCCACAACCAAAATTCTCAAAAACTCATCAAAATCAAGAACAGCCCTTCAACTCCACAACCCACAATTCTTTGGCATTAAAATATGAATGATAACTCATTGATTTTGAACATAACCCATTTGAAATCAATCAGAAAAGAACAAGTATCTGATTTCTCTCTATATATAACAAAGGATAATATGTATATACAAGAAAAGAATCAAAAGGGTAGATAGAAAGAAGTGTATAGAATGAATCTAGCACAAGAGAAACAGATCCAACATTCAATGAAAACAAAAGTAGATTGAAAGATTTAGACAGAAACACCAAACAACCTTCTTTCAAAGCTCAATTGAATCCGATTGGGGAAATTGAAAGAATGAAAAAGAACCCAGATGAAAAGGATTTCAAGTAGATGACGGAAATGGAAATGGAAATGGAAAGGAAATAATGGAGGATTGCATCTATATAATTAATGAGTGGTCAAATGAAGAAAGAATGGGAGACTGAATGTGGATTGCATATATTTTAGTAATAAAAGAAATGAAAAAAGGGGACCGGATTTGATTGGATATATGAAGAAGAGATTGTTTGGAAAGAAGCGGATAAAATTGAAGAAAGATTCAATGTTTGGGGAGATGGAATCGCAAGAAATGAGAGAGAATTCAGATCGATAAAAACGCATTGTCATGTAAACAAATCGATTGATCGAAGCTCTCCTCTCTCAATCATCTCCATCGACAGAGAGAGAGAGAGAGAGAGAGAAAATCGTAGCTCGTAGTGTCTGATGGCCGTTGGATCAATGGATCTACCTATTCTATCTTATTTCATCCTTCTTAACGTTGACAACACCTTGTTTTTGTAAGTCTCCTAAAACTTTTTATTTTTTTATGTTGAAATTTCACAGTAAAACGTTCTGAATGTAAAAAAAATCAAATTTTTATAGTGAAAAGACTGTAAAGGTTATCTTTACAGTATTTTGTTATGAAGTTTCAACTGTAAAAAAGTGTTCTCACAAAAATAGGTTGGTCTCACGTGATCCCAAGTCTCCCTCTCTCTCTCTCTCTCTCTCTATATATATATATATATATATATATATATGGGCCTATTCAAAGGAGAACTGAGTTGTTTGTGGTAACTGTGAGAACCAATATTAACCACAAATCAATAGATAAATTAGGAAATTTATAAATTTGGTAATTTTAAATTAAAATCT